AAGCTCAAACTACCGAATCGATTTTAAACTATGGTGTATGGCATCGTGCCTTAAGGCAATTGCTGGAACTTCCCGTACCAAATATTATTATTTTTTAAAAACGATTAACATTTTTGAAAAATAGGACTTCGAAAAAATTAGATTTTTGAGAAACTAGGAATTTGAAAAAAAATTACTTTTTTTGAAAAAAAAATGTTTTCTTTATTTTGACATATTTTGGAAAATCTGAACTTTTTTACGAAGCAATCGTACTGCTTTGACTGCATAGAGACAAAATGTCAAAGCGCCTAAGCGCTGCGTCGCCGTCTAACGAATAAACATTGGTACGGAACCCATAGGAATGCAAACAAAATTTATATTTATTGTTAAAATCTCTATAAAATATCTGATAATTTGATGTGCATATGTCTAATGATCATTTTTGACCGCCAAATGGCATTTTTTTACTTTTTTCATTAGATCTCCGTAACCGCTAAACCTGCCTTTTTGAAAATTTGATCGGTTCTTCACCTTGTCAATACAAGTAAAATGTTTTTGAATTATTAAAATCGGACGCTCCGTTCTCTTAAAAACTGAATTACCGTTTTCGGCACTTTTTGCCCCGTATCTTCGGAACGGCTAGACCTGCCTTCGCCAAAAACTAATCAGCACGTCTCCTTATCAATACGAATCGAATGTTCTTCGAATTATTCAAATCGGTTGATCGGTGTTCCCGAAATCGTCGACGAAAATTTGTATCAACACACACATACATCCATTTTTTCTAAGGTATGCCAAAATATTCAGAAACCTTTGAAACGTCGAGAAATGCAAAAATTTTCATTTTCGATTTTTTTGCGATTACTATAACTTGCCCTATGGTAAGTTAACAAATATTGAAATATTTTTATTTCTATTTTATACTTACCTTAGATATGAAGTCTTGTGAAAATCCAGGAATCATGCCCATAATTTGTGAAAACGGTCCCATTTTCATAATATTCTGAAACTGTTCATACATATCACGCATTGTAAACTGCCCGTGTTTTATTTTCTCTAATAATTCTTCATTATCATCCAATTTTAATTCATTAACTTTATCGATCAAGCCTTCTATATCACCCATACCCAACAACTTGCTTACGAAAGGTTTAGTTTTAAAAGGTTCTAAGTCGTCTATGTGTTCTCCTGTACCTATAAAGATAATAGGACTATTTGTGGCTGCTACAGCTGATAAGGCACCTCCACCTTTAGCATGACCGTCCAATTTTGTGATAATAACCGAACCAATGTCTACTTTTTCTTTAAAAGCCTTCGCTTGTCCTTCACAAGCCTGTCCAATAGTAGCGTCCATGACGAAAATAATATTATCAGGACGTATAGCATTTGAAACTGCTAACATTTCCTCGAACAAAGATTCTTCTTGCTTATGTCTACCACTGGTATCAACAATAATAAATTCAAAGCCTTCTTTCTTAAACATATCTACACCATCTTGAGCGATAACTACAGGATCAACTTCTGTGTAGCTACCGTAGAAAGGAATTCTAGCTTTTGTACAATTTTGTTTAACCTGATCGTAAGCACCGGCACGGAAGGTATCAGCGCAGACCAGGCAAGATTTCCAGTTCTTTTTTAAATAATGGTAAGCAAGTTTTGTACATGTCGTTGTTTTACCTGAACCTTGTAAACCTACAAACATGATGACGTTCGGTCTGCCTTTAACAGGTTGGAAGGGTTTTACTCCGGGGTCTACAAGTTTGACAAGTTCTTTGAACACTGCTGACTGGATCATACGTCTCTTGTTGAGGCCTCCAGCCATTTCTTCAAAGTCGATGACAGATCGTACATTCTCTCTTAATTTTTTGACTAAACGAATGTTGACATCGGCTTCTAGTAAGGCTGCACAGATGTCTTTTAACATAGAATTTAAAACCTCTTCATTAATTACAGTTGCTTTACTCAGCGACTGTAACGCAGAGGTTATCTTGCGTCCTAAATCTGCTAACACCATTTTGATAAACTATATATATACAACTATATACTTAATAATTAAATATAATATGTCAAATTATTTCTTTTACTAAATATATGAATTTTGTCATAGCACAACTTTAAATCAAATGTAAATTCTGCCAAAAACATATGCTATATCGAACTATTTGTTTACTAAGATACATGCATTGTTATATAATTATTAACAAAAATTGTATTTCAATAAGAACATGTTTTGTTATACTTTGTTATGAATCTTTTTAATATTTTATAATTATTTTTGAATCAAATAATTCATCTTGACATATGACAAAATATAAAAGTCGACACACGTATCAATACAAGCACCAACATTAGAAATAAACGGAGCTGTCAACACAGAACAAGTTCAGAACACTGCCAACAAATAATACAAATTTTGAAATACGAATCTTGAATTATGTATTTAAAATAATCGTTTGTGTATTTAAATATAATTAATAACAATTAATTATTAGACTCCTTATAAGGCATATTGCCAAAGCAAGTTGCATGATCTTTCAGATACATGTAAATAACTAAATACACACTTAAGGGGTTATATACACAGTTTGCATTTTCTGAAAATCGTTTTTTTTTTATTAATTTTCCGTAGAGTAAGTTATAGTAATCGTAAAAAAATCGAAAATGATTTTTTTTATATATATTTACGTTTCAGGGTTTCTGAACATTTTGGCATACCTTAGAAAAAATGGATGTATGTGTGTGTGTGTATGTGTGCGGATACAAATTTTCGTCGACTATTTCAGGAACGATCAACCGATTTGAATAATTAAAAACACATTCGATTCGTGTTGATAAGGAGACGTTCTGATTAGTTTTTGGCAAAGGCACGTCTAGCCGTATCGGAGATACGGGGCAAAACATGCCAAAATGGTATTCAAGTTTTTAAAAGAACGGAGCGTCCGATTTGAATGATTCAAAAAACATTTTACTTGTATTGACAAAATAAACAATTGGTGAAATTTTTGGAAGGGCAGGTCCAGCGTTTGCGGAGATCTAGTACAAAAAAGTAAAAAAAGGCCATTTGACGGTCCAAAAAGATCATTAGACATATGCACATCAAATTATCAGATATTTTATAAATATTATAATGATAAGTACAAATTTTGTGTACATTTCTATGGGTTCCGTACCATTGTTTACACGGTAGACTACGACGCGGCGCTTACGCGCTTCGATATTTCTACTCTAAAAAACAGTTAGTCTTATGCAACGTTATTGCTTTTAAAAAAGTTGAAATTTATCAAAAAAAAAATCAGAATATAAAAAAAATCAAATTCCTACAAAATTGTTAAGTTCAAAGAAGTTCTAGCAATTTGCCTTAAGACACGATATTATGCACCACTAGTTTATTGGTATTATCAAAAAAATAGTACTTATCTAGATATTTAACCTTAAGGCAAATTCGCATAAACTTCCCGGTGTATGTGTAAATAATAGACTAAGAAACCGATTCTGCCGCATAATAGAAAAATGTTATGGCAAAGCCATGTTATGAAGAACTTTTCATATAAATATTGACAAAAGCCATGTCGTTGGTGTGCATTCAGGCATATTTTTCAGGTGTCGGTAGAAAATATAACTTAGAAACCGCACAACGTCAAAAAAACAACTTAGATAACAGAGTCTTTCTGACTCAGCTCCATAACATAAAAGTGACGTTGCAGTTTATGTGTGAAACGCCTGAATCCACAGCAAATACATGACATTTTGACGGTATTCAGTATGATGCATTGGTATAATGTATGCAAGTTGAAGCGTAACATGGCCTTGCCATAACATCTATAAGTATTTCGATTTGTGACTAAATACATACAAGTTTAACTGATTTAAATTATCATTTAATAAAACGAGTGTAATTCTTATTAGTATTACGAAGCAATTCATACAATAAATTTTCAAGTTGAGATATTTTAATAATCGTTTATACATTCTTTTTGCATTTAGGTTCAACAGGTTTAGGAGGAGTCCATATCAAAATCTTAGGCCTGGTTGTAGAATATGGATAATACTGGTCTCTGGTTCCTGTTTTATTTTCGTTATGTTCTAACGAATAACAATGGGGTAAATTATCGGATTCTGGTGGATTTGCTGTACGATGATGTAACCAGCCTTGCCACTCGGGAGAACCCTAAAAAATATTTGTAATTTTTATGTTTTTCATAACTATCTTCAAGCGTATTTTTGTATTATTATATTGGCCATGAATACAGCTATCTTCATGACGGTACCGGAAAGTAGCTACCCTGAATCGAGCTTATTTTAGCCTTTGAGCATTAATTGTAATAAAAACTTGCTAAAAATATCATATTATATAAACAAATCAGTATTTTTACAGTCCAAAGTTCCAAAGGTTGAAATCTAACCCAACAACCTATAAAGCTTTTCATGAGACCTTTACAAACTATTTGAAAAAAAAAGAAGGAGCATATGCTATTATGAAAGTGTAGTATGATTCTAAATATTATTTATATTTTTTTTATTTACCTGAGATGCATCATAGTTTAGACCATGATGTTCAGCATACACAACCCATCTATTTGTTGGAAAGAAATATCTTGGATTTTCATAATATTTATTTCCATATCGATCCCTACCAACATATTTGCCGAATTTAAGACTATCCATTCTGTTTGTCAATAATTTTTTGATTTTAGATTAATTTATAACATCAATAAGTTACATTCTCACCTGTACAATGTATAAATGCTTTTACGAATGCCTCCATTAAATTTGATGATTTTTATAAGATTTTTCATTGGTTCAATAGGACTCATTATTAAATCTTTAATTAACGATGCCATTGTGAGTACTAATTAAATAATTTCAAAATATTTTTATTTAAGAATGCACAAGTAATAATTGTCAATTTGTTAAACTGTCAGTTGTTTTTTTTTAACTTAAAATGAAAATTTTTGCATTTTTCGACGTTTTGAAGGTTTCTGAACATTTTGGCATACCTCAGAAAAAATGGATGTGTGTGTATGTATGTATGGATACAATATGGATTTGAATGGTTGAAAAAACATTCGATCAAATAACGTAACGTATCGAGACAAAATTCACAGTATTCAGGAATAAATTTTATTCTAGTTGAACTAAAAAAAACTTAAAAAATGTTATAATTAACCCACTTTATAAACAATCTAAAGTAAAATTTTGAAAAAAACATGATTTTTTTCAAGTTGCAAAAAATTTCTGTATTTTTTAGGATGGAAATTGTGAACTGCATCTTTCTCGCCAAAAGACACTTGCACGCTCGTGGCGCATCGGCAAAATGCTTGTACCCGGCATATTATGACATATATTTTAACGAAAAAAATTGAGAAGAATGTTGAAATATGTAATAATAAAACCTGAAAGTTTCGTTTTAATTAAACATTTATTTCCTTCCTTAAAAATTCTTCAAAAAAGGCGACTTGTTAAAGCTTTTGAAGCAAGCTCTCTACTCAATATTCCTCATTACGGTACGGCAAGTTTCAGAAATTTGCCTCAATGCACGAAGCCATGCACCACTAGTTTATTATTATAGTTCATGCAACTTGCCTCAAGGCACAATGCCACTTACACCTACTAATATATCCACTTACCATACCACCAAAGACGCTAAATAATTAATTTCGCCATGGCAATAAAATAATTACCCCTAACAAACCAAAAAAAGACACCTCGACGTCATCTGTCCAACGGCACGTCCGACGACGACGACGACGGATTCATTTACAAAAAAAGTCGGTTAATTAAAATCGGTATAGAGACACACGGCGATGTGTTTTTGTTGTAATAATAATAAATAATATTTTATATACATGGCGTACGAGTTATAAAAATGTTTTTTTCTCTTTATTTAGTGGACTTGAATGTGTCTCTACTCTCAACGTGCGGGCGGGCGGCCGTCGGGCGCCCCGTCGTTTTGATTGTCGTACATTTTTCACTGTCGTTGTAATAAGAAACAGAATTATGGTCACTCTTATGTTACTAAAATAAGACACAAAGATTCTTTTACAATTATAAGTACTTACCACACGTTTCCACAGTAATATGCCAATTGGGTACTTTTAGGTAGTATAGTTTACCATAAATGTAAATGGTATCTTACTACATATACTGTACATGAAATATAGATTCCATAAAAAATATGCGTAACTTCCTGATACGCGTAAATAATCGACTTAATCAATAAAAAATAAATTAATTTATGAGTAATTAAAAGTATTCCGAGTGGATCTATTACACATAATTGAAAACGAACGAACACGTTAACTCGTAGTATTTTCTAAAAGCAAATTTTCAAAAATCAATAATTTTTATAATTGAACCAGTTTCCGTAGGACTTTAATGGTTTAGTATGTTCATTAAGACCAAGTACTCTATCGTTATATCAAGTAAATCGTCTAATTTTAATTTTAACAGACGTCAAAAAAACTACTAATTTTCTCAAACTTTGATGAATTTCTAAAATTAAACTACTTGCCGTAAGGTCGTAATATTTTAGTAAGTTCTATAAGACCATGATATATATAGCCAAAAAAAGTTCCATAAAAATCGGCTTAAATTTTTTTCAACAGTTAATTTCAAGAAAACGGTTCGGTAGATTTTCACCTAAAATTAATCAGTATCATTCCCAATGAATATCTTTCGAACAGTTTTTGATTTTTTTAAACCGATTCGGTAGTATGAGCTTAAATGTGAACGAAAAGTTTAACACTCTTTTCCAAATTGCAAAGAAACGGCTCGGCAGATCGTCTCACAAAACTGACAAACGATAGCTCTCATCGAGATACATCAAATGGCTTTTAAATTTCTGAAATCGGTTCAGGCGTTTTTGAGCAAACGTCGATCGAAGGTCTAATTTTGACAAATGCCAAAAAAACGATACCAATTTTTGCAAACTTTGAAGAATTTTTAAAATTAAACAACTTGTCGTAGGGCCGTAATATTTTAGTATGATGTACAAGTCTATGGTATCTACCGTAAAAAAAAATCATAAACATCGTCAATTTTTATTTTCAAAAACTTTATTAAAAGAAAACGGCCCGGTCGATCTTTACAAAAAAAACTAATCAGCACGATTCCCAACCAATATCTTACAAACGGCTTTTGAATTTTCAAAATCGATTCAAAATTGCGGGCTAAAACGTGGACGATTTTTTTTTCATTTTTCTGCGATTTATAAAGAAACAGTCCGTCGATCGTCGCACAAAACTGAGAAACGCTAGTCTTCATCGAGATACATCGAATGGCTTTTAACTTTCTAAAATTGGTCCCGCCATTTTTGTGAAAACGTCGATTTACAGCAAAGATCTGTTCACACACACACACATACTTTTTCCAAATTTGGTCTCATTCGATTCAGAATGGCTCGAAACGTCGAGAAAACATAAAATTAGCGAATCGGAATTTTTGATGAAAACATAAACATAAACTTCTCCTTCGGGAAGTTAACTAGCGGTGTACAGCATCGTGCCTTTACACGAGTGTACTTACATTTTTCAAATTTCTATGCCTCCTTATAATAACTTAGTGACAAAATAAAATTAGTGTACATAATCTTCTCTTTCACATAATCACAAATCCTCATCATAATTCATCTCCAACAACCACCGTTCCTCATCCCACCGCCAAAAAATTCAATTCGTCGCCTAAAAGGACTTTTTTCTCCAGCCACATAATGTTTTTTTCGTCTTCGTCTCCGTGTTGTTGTACAGAGTATTGAGGGATTTGCGTTTTATTTATTATTATTATTATTTTTGCGATAAAGTCACATCAGAATAATGATTGCTTGTCAACGAAGCGGCTTACCGCATCAGGAGACGACGACGTCGACATCAATGTCAAGGGGATGGAATAACGTAAACAGCTTTTTTGCGGAAAATCGAGAGGAAAAAATAGATATTTACCATGCGGGATAAAATATTATCGATTGTTGTTTGAATCGATGAAATCGGTAACAGGAGATATCTATACGCCTAGTATTTTTAACTTCCCGTAGGGTAAGTTATAGTAATAGGCCGAAAATCGAAAATGAAAATTTTTGCATATCTTCACGTTTCAGAGGTTTCTGAACATTTTGGCATTCCTCAGAAAAAATAATGTGTGTGTGCGTGTATGTATGGATACAATTTTTTGTCTACGTTTTCATAAAAAACATTCAATTCTTATTGATAGGAAGATGTGCTGACTAGTTTTTGGCAAAGGCAGGTATGGGAGATTCGGAGATACAGTTTTTGAAACTAAAACACATTTTTTGCAAATCAGCTATGAAATGCGATTTCTTTAAAAAAAAGTCATTTTTTTCAAAACTTCCATAATTTCTCAAAAATCGAAAAAGTCGGAATTTTTGTCTCGGATTCAAAAAATTCCGTACCGGATTCATAATTTCTGTCCCGAACTCAAGATTTCTGTCACGGATTCAGATTTTCTGTCCCGGATTCAGAATTTCTGTCAGGATTTGAATTACGAAATTAGGATTTCTGTCGAAAAAGTCGGAAATTCTGACCCGGATTCAGATTTCTATCGGGGAAGTAGAAATTTCTGCCTCAGATTCAGAATTTATATCCCGGATTTAAAATTTCTGTTCCGGATTCAAGATTTATGTCAAAAAAGTCGGAATGTTTGTCCCAGATTTAGGAGTTGTATTCCGAAATCCGGATTTCTGTCAAAAATATCAGAATTGCTGTCCCGGATTCAAGATTTCTGTCGAAAAAGTCGGAATTTTTGTCCCGGATTCATAACTTCGGTCCTGAATTCAGAATTTTTGTTCCGGATTCAGAATTTCTGTCACGTTTCGAGATTCCTGTCGAAAATGTCGGATTTTTGTCCCAGTCTCAAAATTTTGTACCCCGATTTAGGATTTCTGTCCTATATTCAAGATTTTTGTCCCAGATTCACGATTTCAACATTTATGTCCCGTATTCAGAACTTCTGTCAGAAGAATTTCTGTCCCGGATTCAAAATTTTTGTCAGGAAAGTCAGAATTACCGTTCCAAATTCAGGATTTATGCTCCGGATTCAAAAGTTTTTCGAAAAAGACGGAACTTCTATCCGGAATTCAAGATTTCTGCCGAAAAAGACGGAATTTCTGTCCCGGATTTAAGATTTTTGATACAGATTCAGAATTTCTGTACTAAAAATCCAAAAAAGTTCTAGTTTTAAATATATTTCAACTAAAATTATTAAAGATTTGCAATAAAAATTATTCACTTCATTCAAAATTAAGTAAATACAATTTTGTTTTTAAACTATGTCTAAAAACTGATGTACCAATTTGAGTGAATTGATTTTACCCTATAAACTATCAAAAAGAACATAAGAGAAGTACATATTTTTGCCAGAAAAAAACACTTTTATAATTTTATGTTTTCTCGACGTTTCAAGCTATTCTGCATCGAATGAGGTCAAATTCGAAAAAAGTATGTGTGTGTATGTGAGTCGATATTAACAGGTAAAATCAGTAAGAAACTGTTTTTATCAAATTATTACTGATTCTTTGAACCCCCACAGAGTAAAAATTACTCTAAACCAAATAAATAAAATTTCATTCATTTGCTTTTGAATAATTATCAACAATTAACAATTCCAATCAATAAAACCGTATTCTTCTATCTTCTAACAAATTTTTATTACACAAATTCTTGTTTGATATCGTTTAATTTATTCATTGTTTTGGCTGCCCGTGGCGAAGATCTTTATTATTATTATTTCGAAAAGACAATAAATTAATATTGTATTACTTGGGAGTAAAAACAGGAATATTATTAAGATAAAGGTAAAAGTCAGGATAACATGGTAATTTAGAGTTATT